CATTTATTTTATACACTTGCAAAGTAGTATCACGAGAGATAATGTTGCCTAGTGACTAAGACTAAGACTGTAATTGTCCAAGCAGGATACTTTTTTCAATACTGAGGTAGCTTGACTGCCTGAGGCACTCTGGCTCTGTCCCACCCTCACACACATGAGCAATGACCAACTCCCGCGACTCCCAGCAATGGTGCTGTCACAGTGGCAATGTCTGGTGCACTGGATACAAGAGTAGCCAGGTCATACTTCTAGGTCTACCTCAGATTTCAGCCTCAGTAGCGACAGATGGCACCACGCATGCTGATCTGGCGCCACCCCATGTGTCTACCAAGCCCCACCTTGCTTCGCTGCCGTGGGGCTCTCTGCAAAGCTGTGGGAACTCCTGGGCTACAAAGTGAGCTCAAGGCCAGCCTGAACTGCACAGGAAGACCCCGTCTCAAAGAAGACAAAAAAAAAAAAAAAAAGCTGTGGAAACTTCTGGGCCTTGGCTTAGGCGCAGACTAGAGGTACAGGCAGTGAGTGACCCAGGGACAAACCTTGCTGGGAGCTGTTGGAGAGTCTCTAGGTCCTGTCCCAAAGAAGACACCTCAGTCTGTCTAGGTATGGGGTTTCCTGCACCCTGAAAAACACTTCCAGACTGTTCCTGGCTCTGGAACCTCACCCCTCCCTCCTGCATCAGCTCTGGAACCACAGTGGGCAGTAGGGGAGGAGGTGCAGAAGCACAAAGGGCAGAAATGAGAGGAGGCCATGTCTACTCCAGGCGCCCAGATACCAGCATCTGCTTGCCTCATGACCTTTGCACTTGTTCTTTCTGCCTGGAGAGAAGACTCATACCTAATTTATTGGGCCCTGTACAAAGTGAAAATGCAGGCCCTGGTCCAAAATTTAAAAATTCAAGATAGAATACTAAACCAAGGCTGGGGACATTCTGAGTGCAGGGTCCTATGTGACCGACTGCACAGGTCACACGGACACAAAGCTGGCTTCTTCCTGCAGATCTGTTTCAATAGCAGCTTAAAAGAGGGGCTTAACAGACACCCCCCTGACCTCACCAGTCACCCTCTAAGGACCGTTCCTAGCCTCATCTTCTTTTAGGATTTCGGCTCCCCAGCACTAACCGCTTCTTCCCAGTGGAATGTGAGCCCCAGATGTCAAGGGCTGCACTGGTCACTGCTGCATCTCAGGACTAGAATGTTCTAGCACCCCATGGGTAGGTGCTCAGTAGAGATTAATGGAAGGAAGGAGAAAAGATAGCAAGTGGAGGGAGCTGTTTCTTAGCCCAGAGCAGATCTAGGCTCAAGGGAGGAAATCTTTGAATAGTATGAAGTTGTGGTTAGAACTCGCAATTTTTTTTTTATTTTTTATTTTTTATTTTTTTGTCTTTTGAGACAGGGTCTCACTGTGCAGTTCAGGTTGGCCTTGAACTCACTGTGTAGCCCAGGCTGTCCCTCAGCCTTCTGAGTGCTGGGATTACAGGTGTGCACCACCATGCCCGGCCAGCTCAAATTATTAAAATAAAACTGTTTCATGATTTACAGTGATAGGAAACCCATTTATTTATTCATTCTTTCATTCATTTATTTATAGATGTATTTATTTATTTATATCTGAGCATCAAGGCATTGGGAATTGGTCATGATTTCAGACAAGGAGCTAGAAGAACCAGCCTGCAGAAAATGTCTCAACAGGCACTAAGACCAAGCCAGGCATGATGGTACATGCCTGTAATCCTAGCCACTGAAGAGGCTGAGGCAGGAGCATCCCCATGAATTCAGGTCCTGCCTGAACTACATAGTGAGACCCCGTCTCAAAAACAAAAAGCAGATGGGCATAGTGGCACATGCCTATAATTCTAGCCTGAGGCATCCAGAGGCAGGATCACTGTAAGTTCAAGGCCAGCCTGGGCCATGTAGTAAGTTCAAGGCTGGTTTGAACTACATAGCAAGACCCTATCTCAAAAAACCTAAAAACAGCAACAACAACAACAACAAACCAGAAAACAAAACAAAAAACAGCTCCTGGGACCAAAGACCAAGCTGTTTCTTTTGGTTCCACACAAGTCCCACTTGGTACAGGCCCCACCTTGCTCAGTGTGTTCACTCAATCCCCACACGTATGTACACACCCTTCCCTCTACTTACACAACTGCTAACATGTCCCTGCACATTTGCTACTTTCCTTTTTCACCTGAGCCTTGGAGGTCATTGTGTATGTGCATGTATGCTTCCTCGCTCCTTTTATTGGTAAACAATTCCTGCTGTAGGTATAGACCATAATTTTTTTTTTTTCGGTCTTTTTGAGACAGGGTCTCACTAGGCAGTTCAGGCTGGCCTTGAGCTCACGCTGTAACCCAGGCTGGTCTCAAACTCCCAACGATCCTCCTGCCTCAGCCTCCCGAGTGCTGGGATTACAAGTGTGCACCACCATGCCCGACTTAGATCATAATTTACTTAACCAATCCACTACTTGCATTGTTTCTAGTCTTTGGCTTATAAATAATGCTACAGTGAAACACAAATGTCAAATAACACAAATGTCAAATAAATATATGAAAAAATTAAAAAAAATAATGCTACAGTGAATAAAATTTCACCTATATCATTTTGCTTGTGAACAAGAATATTTGTAGAGTAAAATCCTAGAAGCAGAATTATTGGGTCAAAGGGGTTTTTGATAAATGCAGTATTAAAAAAGTGCCTGTTTTACCAGGTGTAGTGGCACATGCCTATAATCCCAGCACTCAGGAGGCTGAGGCAGGAAGATTGTTGTGAGTTCAAGACCAGCCTGGGCTACAAAGTAAGCTCAAGGCCAGCCTGAGCCACATAGCGAGACCCTGTCTCAAAAAGGCCAATAAAGAAAAAAAAAGTGCCTATTTTGCTTGCCGACTAAGCATGATCTCAATCCTTTCTGTCTCTGCTGATCTGTTAGGCGGAGATATAATCTCAGTTTCCTTTTAGTCACATTTCTCTTGTGATGAGTGAGGCTGAATATTCATTAAAATACATGTAAAAGGGAAGTGATTCACCCACAAGCTCCTCTAACACTCAAGCTGATTTTAATTTTCTCATTTGCTTAGGCTTACCGCCTATATTCAGATATTTTAAATGTTTAATTATAGTTTTAAGCAGCAACACAGAACTTAATGTTCTGCTATTTTGTTGCACTTATATTTTGACAAATATTTACCCCCATACTAGCAAGATGAGGTGGGTTGTGAAGTAGTTAGCAACCAGCTCCAGTAGCTCAGTAACTTAAACTAGGGTGCACCTCCTGTTCATGCTTCATGTCTCTGCTCCAGATCATCTGCACACCAGGCTCCATGAAAAGAGAAATTGTCTCTCTGCCCTCTGAAGTTTTGCTGGGAAAAGCTGACAAAAATTAAACAGCAGAAAAGGCATACAGATTAATTAATGTACAAAAGGGGAATAATCATAGGAGTGTGATTATCCACTAGCTCACGATTACTCAGAAAGGTATGGATCCCTTTATGTACAGGGGGAGCATTAGGAAAATAAACAATATTCAGGGGAATGGTAAACAATTACTAGGGAAATGAATGGTGCTGGAGACAGAAATTAGCTTGTAATATTCTTATAAGGTCATATTCTTGGGGCTGGGGATTTAGCTCAGTGGCACCAGCGCCTGCCTGGCAAGTGCAAGGTCATGAGTTTGATTCCTGGTACGGGAAGAAAAACAAACAAACAAAACAAAAACAAAAACAAAAAAGGTAATATTCTCCTCAGAATATTCTGGCCCTGGCCTTGGAATGAGCCTAAGGAACAGACATTACCTTGTAATGGAAGTCCACCCAGGTGTGTATATTCCTCAGCCTACTTTTCTCAGACAAGTGGTGGGATTTCAGGATGGAAATAAAAATGGACAGCTCAATTCTGTTCCCTTTTGTAGTTGTCTTTGCCGGGGATATAGCTCAGTGGCATAAGTATCTGCCTGGCAAGCACAAGGTCCTGAGTTCGATTCCTGGTACCAAAAAAAT